TTAACAGAAAGAATCACAATGTTACCTCTAAAATTGACTTTTTTATTATATTTGGTGATATAATTTATTATGTATTATTTCCTGATGTATTTTATTAGCCAGCACTTTTACAAAAATCGTAATAGTTTGTTCATACATTAAAACCCGTTTTTGACATGCATTTGATATCCTTTGTCCCTATCTATCTCATAACGGGTGTTAAGAAATAGTAAGTGACAGTCTAATGGATTTATACTATTAATCAAATACATCTTTATGATTGTTTGGTTTTCACTCTGTGTTTCTAATTTGATAGACTGATCACTAGTTAAATTTTAAAATGAAAAATAAGTTATTGTGTGGTTAAGGGAATTTGATTTAAACTTCCTTGTATGCTCATCAAGTTGAATTATTTGTTTAGGTTCAATTGATCAATACAAAATATGTAAGTAATGTACGTGTGGAGTCACGCGCCTGTAGGAATCTTCACTATAGTTATACTTTTTATATTTGCTGACAGTTTAAACAAACAAATAAGTTCATTTAATAATATTTATTGGGTATGTACTAAACTCCCTACTAGGCCCAGTATGTTTTAAAGTGTGGTTCGTTCAATAATATGCGAGGCATTTAATGTGTGAATGAATAAATGAATATTGAGTTGCACTCACTCAGTGTACACAAATTGTTTGGATATACATAGGTGCATATTATTATCTTAATAGAAATAAGTTTTATAGTTTATTATGATTAATATTTGGAGGTTAGAATAGGCAATATGGCTCAATTTGGTGTTTGTATTGTTTTTATTTAAAGACACGACAAAGTAAAAAAAAAAATAATTTAAAGAAAAACAGAAAACCCGACTGCGTAAAAACGAATTTAAAAAAATACTTGATATAATTCATCGATTAATTTTTTTTCATTTTGACAATATGTCGTCTGGTTGTCGCTGTGGTGAATTTTGATTACTGTCATGTCTTTAGTGACAATCGCAAGGTTAAGAGGAATCGATTGATTGATCGACGCCACATAGAAACAAACATACATAGACTGATAAACACATTACCCTCCTTTGCGTCGCACAGTCGGGTAAAAATTACAAAGCACGAAAAGAAACATTGTAAAGTTGATAAAGTTTTGAGGTCTGTAATATTTTTGTATCTAATCATTGAAATAAATAGGCGCGAATGTTATAAAAGATGTACTAGGTATAGTTTTACGACCTAATATAATATCATCGTAGGGCACGTCCAATATATACAATCGTCTGATAAAATGTGTGCAAAGATAAATTCGTTGTTATTATCTAGTGGTGTGATACTTTACAACGAACATTTTAATCGACGATTATAGATATTGGATGTGCCCCACGATTTGAGTCTAATCAATGCATAATATGTTTAAAATTTGTATATTTCAAAAACGTCGTCTTTTATTATAGGTATTTACACTAATCTATAACTACAATGCATTGTCAGGTTTTTATGTGAACATAGATATCTCCACAAAATGAGTAGTTTACGTGTTACTTTATTTTGAAAATGTAACAATGTATACATTTTGGCACCCATGACTGTATCCCTGCATTTATTTTTTAGCTTTTAGTACATTTATCTGCAACATTTTTCTGTTTACATTAAAACCGTTTAACTTAAAAAGTTTTTTTTTTGTTTATTTTGAAGTTTTTAGTTTTTATTTCTTAATCTATTTAATTCGTTAAGTGCCTCATTATTTCTTGCCCGTTAGTTTATTATAGAGGGGCAATGCTATGTACAACAAGATGTGCCCGAATCTTGAGGGAAAAGCGCTAACGATATATCATTTTTATCCACCCTAATGCCATACAGTTCTCGGCGCGCTTTTACTTTAACTTGGGTGGTGTACCCCTAGCGACATATCATTTTTAGTCAACCTAACGCCACACAGTCCTCGACAGGATACGAGATCTTGACTTGGGTGGGAGATTCTAATTGTGATTTTGTATAGTGCACTGTATTATACTTACCAAACGGCCTTAGCCATTGCGAGGTTCAGGGTGGCAGGTCTTTGCGAGGCCCTTTGTCCTTCGTGAAAAGTATGTGATTCGAAAGTAGGTCTGGTTGTTTGGGTTAAGTAGGTATTTGTCATGTTCTAGGAGAAATGCTTAAGTTATACAAAGTGTTATGCAATTAAAAAACCGATCTTCAAGTGGTTCGAAAGGGTATTCAATTATGTTTGCCATCTTGAATTTTGATTCTGTATTATGAACTGTATTCTACTTAACATGGCCTTTCATTTGATATATCTATATTGTTGGGATTAAAAAAAGTAAGTTGTCCGCCATCTTGTAGCGGCGGCCATCTTGGATTCACAATAATGTTGAATGTACGTTATTGTATTGTCACTACCAAATTTCAGATCAAACAGTCAACAGAAAGAGGGTGAAATTTCAATTACTAAATTTGATCCACCACGAACAAAATAAACGGAGTAAGCTAAATAAAACCGTTTAATAAAAATCAATAGATTGGTAAAATAGAAATGTATAATCATTATATTCACAATGCTATACTGAAAAATATTCTTAAGGAAAAAATGCTTTAAAAATCCACCTTGTCGCTGGAACTAAGAGGGGTTAACTACTTGTTGTATAATATAAACGAAAGAGTACTTATATTCCGCATCTTCCTCCAATTATAAAGGTTTCATTTCTGAATTTTCAAACTGTCATGCTATACTTTTACAAAATGTTCTATTAGATAAGTATAATAATTATTGCATTTTGTTATTGAAACTTACGCATAATAAAGATCGGAATTATGTATACCCCAAATAGAAGACGCTCTAGCACTCAGACCAAACGCATAGCATGACAAACTCGAGAAACGCTTTGTCTACACCAAATGTCACTTTTATCGAGTGTCTCGGGTCTAACATGCTAGCTACGTAGAGTGAGATGTGATTGTAGACAAAGTGTTTCTCGAATTTGTCATGATATGGAGGCTGTAATGGATATGATAGGATTTCACGAAATGTTTTTTGAAATATCTTTTGAATGATATAAACAAAGACATTTTGGATATCAATAAGTTTTAGCAGACAACGATAAACTTAAAAAATATGCTCTCAGCCGATGCTTATCTGTTGATACCTAGCATGTTTGTAATTATACGCGATAACTGGTTATTTACTAAAGATAAGTAATCAAAGTAAGGATACATAACTGAATTGATAGGTATTTAACAAATTTGTTTTCTCGCTTTCCTAGAGGCCTATCAGTGTCTTTGCTATGATTTTAAAATCCGTCTGCTGATTAGAGTCCTAGATATAACATTAAATTACTTTGTGGTAACGAATATCTCCTGTGCAATATAATAATTGATTCTACTTTAAGAAACGCTTTTAAAGTGCTTCAATATAAAATATATAGGTACACTTGCGGCGCTGCTGGACTGACGTTTTAACTCGTTTACACTGATCGATGCGGTCACGGCACACGGAGAGTCGGAGACCTCTGCGCGCGGAAATATCATTGGTGAACAAAACAATGAAAGCGAGGAAGGTTCATATGTATAATTCATATGCTCAGTGCTTTAAGACTGCTGATGCAGCAGCGACCGGAGGCTTAACGTGCTTTCAGCAGCACTGGATATGTTTTTTGGTCACTCATCCTACGACCGGTCCTTGCGCAAGTTGCATAACAACCGAAGAGCAGACTGCACTGCGCTATCAAGCACCATCTGTCCATTACGTAATAATTCTCCTAGTAAATAATAAGACTGCTTTGTACCTTTACACACATTCCTCTACGAAAACATTCCTTTTTAGAACATGATAAAGACCTTAATGGTGGAGTGGTTCGAACATATTCATAGTTGTCGATATCTCTCAGGTCCCGAGTTCGATTCCTGGTCGGGATTATGTGATTTTTTTTAAATAATTATTATTAAATTAATAGTCTAGGGTGTTATGATACTTACTCGTTTCAGATTTCCAAATCACAAGCGCATTTATTATAGCTATTTAGTTTGTTATCAGAGTAATGTTTGTAAGATTGTTTATTATGGACATGAACTTGAGTTAATGAAAATAATGACAAGCAAGACAAAAATTTTCATTCCATGTATTTCAATTTATATATTTAACAACAGATATTATTGGATATTAAAATTTTGTTGTAAGTATACTGAATCATAAAAAAACAGTTACAATAAGATATACAGTCATATTATATAATGTACCGTATATTTAAAGACAGTAAAAAATTTTGATTCCTGAGATCGGACAATGAAGAGATTATTTTTAAAGCTTTTACTTAAAAATACCACATTGCAAAAGATGACTGAGTTAAATTGTGACATAAATGTATTTTATATCATACAAAATTCATATTTTAAACGTAATTATAATAAATCCATAACTTTTTTACATACAACTAATCAATCTCGTTTTCGTATATGCTGATATGATACGCATTATCGAATCCTGTGTCTGTGAGTCCGCAATATGGAATGTACCGACAATGGCGGTCTTAATTTTATTTATGAGAGATTATTAATGATTTTGATGGTGATACTGCAGTATGGTAACAAAGTTTCATAATGCGTTATTTATTTTATAATTAATCATTATAATTAAATCTAAAACTATTTACATAATATTATATGGAAGAATGTATCGAACGGTAAATTTGTCGATATAATTCAAACACAAGGGACACCTCGATCACTTATTGTGCGTCAAATGTACAACGGCGTAAACACACAGACGAAACGATGAGACGTGACGTTCACCGGTCCATCGTTAAAGAAATCTAAATAAAATGCTCATAAACAAAAACTCGAATCAGATTTGGAACATTACGCACAACCATCTCACGGATCGCGTCTCTAACGGGGAGCGACACGTACCGGACGTCCGCAATGATCGCATACCGTACAATAATAATTTTGAGTGCTTACAACTATGGGATACAAAAATTCACACTAATAATACTCGTACATCGAAAGATGGTCGCGCACACGCAGGAGGGCGATCTTTCAGCACGTGGTCTCTAGTAAAGGATCCGCAGTCTTGGGCTCGGCGTCGACTGACGTGACGGCTCTCTGCGAGGCGGACTTGTAGAGGCGGCGCGGGCGCTCCTCGTCGTCGGAGTGCGCGCGCGCGGGCTGGCGCGGCGGCTGCAGGCGCGCGGGCGACGGCCGCGGCGACCGCTCGCACGTGCAGCGGCGGCACGCGCACTCCGCCGCGGTGGGGCCGCACGTCTCGCACACCGGCGCCGCGCGCTCCAACTTACCCCGCCGCGGGGGAGCCTCCGCCGCGCTCTGTTCGCGCGCCGTCTTCTTCACCCAAGGATCGAGCGCTGAACGTGCTGCGGTCAGTTCGCGGTCGCTCATCTTCCGCCAAGGGTCGCCGAGAAGCGGCGGCGCGTCCAGCGCGAGCGTGGACGCGGCCGGGGAGGAGCGCTCGCTGCGGGCGCGCGGGGGGGCCGGCGGCACGTGCGCCGGCGACGGCTGCGGCGTGGTGCGGGGCCGCTCCGAGTGCGACCGAGCGCGAGGCGCCAGGGTCCGGCTCGCGGGCGTCACGTCGCTGAGGGAGCGGAGGTGTATGCGGCGGCGCACGCACACGGGCGAGTCGGCCGCGGTCACGTTGATGCTGATGTTGATGGGACGGGAGCTGACGTCGGCGATGGGCTGCTCTGCTGTAGCACGGTCGCTGTCCTTGCGGTCGGAGGGGCCGCTCGGAGTTCGGGGTGTTCCTGAATTTTTGTTGGGGCCGGCCCGGCTGGGCCCGGCCCCCGCTAGCTAGAGGAGTCTCTCTGTCGCCGAACTCGAGGTGCCGGAGCTCAAAGTGGAAGCAGGGTTTTGGTCTTCGCCTGACAGGAAATATAACATTATTCAAGTGATCGACGAGAGGCAAATCTGATTATATTTCTTAGATATTTTTTTCAGTTTCAATCGGTAATATCATTGGTAATTTTGAGTTTTTCATTATTTCCATATAAAAGGGAATTAATTAAGAACCTATATTTAACCTTGAGTAGTCTGGCCCGTGGCCGGCAGTCTTTGTCAGTTGAGCAACTCCACCGAAACAAAACGTTTCAGTCTTTCTAAATATTGGTTGAAGAGCTCCACATCATTGTGCCCGGCGCCCTGGAAAGACATACATAGGTATATATGCAACACTGCCATTCTACAAAAACCAGCAGGAAGGAAGGAATTAGGAATCTGGCTGCTGCAAAATTCGAAATTTAGGCTACTGGCTCTACACCTTGGTCACAAATGGGTGTTGGTGATTGGAGTGATGGTCCAAGAGTGATAGCATATTAATCTATCATAGCAACTTTTGATCTATACTAAATAGATCAAAAGCTGATTGTAATAAATGTAGTAAACATACTATAATTAAACTTAATAAAACAAATGAATAAACATTTCGCTTTTGAAGCACCAGGGAATATCTGGCAGGGTTGGACCTAGGGGCATCAGTGTCAGGGCTAAATCATGGTACTCAAAGGTGACTTAAAATTAATTCATACATTCTTAAAATTTTGATGACATAATGTCATCATATTTTGAGTAAATATGACTTATGAAATGCAAATTTTTTAAATTAGTATCATGCAAGAACATATTTCAAAGTAGTTTGGGTGTGGGTTTTGAAGTAACAATTCTTTTTGGAAAATTGCTCAGAAAAGTTTATCGGTTGTCTTGCAATATTTTCCACAAAGTTCTAAGAACCAATATCCTCAACAACCTCCACAATCCTCAACAAACTGGACTATTGAATATTGGAATGGAGACTGAAAAGAAATATAAGAAAGTTTCTACATCCTTTTGGTTTTTTATTTTCTAAAAACTTTCAGTATGAGTTTAGTGATGTTAAAATTTAGTGTTGATTTTTACTTTAAAATAATTTTAAAACATTTAAATAAAAATAGATTATTGTCATTTACCTCAACCCACAGAGGTTCCACAGCACGTGGACATCGTTCATATATGGCTAGACCATGAGAGAAGTCAATCACCTCATCTTCAGTGCCATGTATAACAAGGACTGGAGAGGTAACCTTTGGAATTTTGTCAATACTGTAAAAAAAGACATTTGTCAATAAGAAATTTCTGGCAGGTTGCCATCCAATATGGAAATGTAGAAAAAGGAATTTTCTCTTTGGTCCCAGGTCTGGGTGTTGTGGTACTTTTGTTGTCACAGAAACATAACAGAGGCTTGTAACGGCGTGCTGTACCACCATTTATTTGTTACAGTGTCTTTTCTATACCATTTATACAACAAAATTAATCTATTCTCAAGCTAGTCAGCCTTTCATTATTTGCCCAAGCATCACACCCGTCACAGGCTTTAGCTACTCAGCTTGGAATCTAAGAGATTATAAGGCAACAAAAGTTAAGCACAACCAATTTCATGATTAGATCAGTATCATCATCACTATACAAGTATCATTATCATTATACCAAAATTACAATTATCTTTGTTATTTTCTAAGTACAATTCAAAAGAAGGAACATTACAACAGCCTTGCTTTAAATTGGTTTCTGCTGTAGCACCAAGAGCAGATTAAAGGAAAAACGGCTGTGGTTGTGGAGATCCCTTATATCATTTTTTCCACATACAACAAACACACAATGGGAATTCTCAGAATATCCAGACTATATGTTTTATCAACAATATTTTCTAAAATTGTATAGTTTAGGAATGTAACTTAATAAACAATGAGAAATTAATAATATTTTGAATACAAGAAGTGACACATTCACTCTTAAAATAAATAAATCTAGTCCATGTTTAGTGGTTTGCTGATTCAGGATGGAAAGTAATAGTTAAAACTAAAATGTCCTTCCTATTTAGTGATCATTTCATTTTTAACAATGTGACACTAATGTACAAATGATAGGGCCTAAAAACTTGGTTAATTTGTATGTTTGCTGTTTGGAAAAAGCTATTGTTTTTTACATGCAAGGTAGGTTTGTTACATATTATAATAACTGCTTTGATATAACTTACCTAGGGAAGGCATCAAAGAACCATGTCCTTTTAGTGTTTGGGAATGCAACACGCATGCCTGACATTAACGGTGAATGTAGCACCACAGCACCAACCTCATATCGAGCAGCTAAGTCCACAGTAGGGACAGTTCCAATGCTCTGACCATACAATATGATGTTTTCTGGACTTATGCCGTAGCGAGTCCGTAAAGCTTGCCATGCAGCGTCTATATCAGCATATAAGTTCTTTTCTGATGGCTTCCCTCCACTTACTCCATACCCAGAATAGTCATAACTGAATATATTACAATTTATTCTAGTGCCTAAACCTAAGTAAAAACTACTCATTTGACCGAGATCTACGGCATTTCCATGAGAAAATAGTATTGTAAAACGTGCATTAGGACTGCAGCGAACAAAGAGACATGCTATTCTGTTTCCTCTTGATGTTCTGGAATAGAAGCCTTCAATATTTTCTTTTTCTCGTTCAGAATACTGCCATTCAGCTCTTTCCGTTAATGTTAAAGAGAATTTTGATCCCGTTTCATCAGGTGTGAATGCATACGTGGGTTCTGGTGGCAAGAACGCAAGCTTAGCCGCAATTTTCCCCGGGCATGGCGGACAACAAAACAGGCAACAAAGTTCACTAAAACTTAATCCGTTCATGATGAAAATATATTTATTTCATTAGAAAATTATTGAATACTAGACATTACAAAATAATATTTCTGAAACTACCGATCATGCCAAAAAAATAAAAGAATTTCACAAAGTTGACAATTCGTCAACTTATTTTTCAATCAGCCATGACGAATTTTTTTTTAATTTGTTTCATAATTCAGGGGCGGCAAAATAATCTGTAAACATTCAGCCATGTTCAGTTACTTTTATCATTTAATTTTAAATTTAAGAACCGGGCCAGTTTTTTTTTTTAGTGAGTAGAATCACTTAATTATATTTACAAAATTAGTAAAATGAGGAAGTATTGTAAAAAAACATTAGTTCCCGAAATCAAACTAGATGTCGCCACGGTACTTTCTTGATTTCTCCATGACAACCGTTCCTGTTTTCTTTTATGTATAAAAGTAAATTAGTTTTCATAATTCAATAAACAACTCATATTCTATTTGTACTTTATCGTATTTCTATTGATATCTAAGTTTCGAACTGATCCGAATATAATAAAGGAACGATAATGACTGTCTTTACTCCATTCGTTTCCTGCAAAAATCAACTTTTGCTAGAGCCGCCATCTAGTGGAGGTGCATTTTTAGTGCTTTCGTTTGTAATCTAACTTTCTATTCTATGCCAGTTTTTTTGCCAGCACTAATGATTGTGCTGGCAAAAAACTTAACTTTGACAGGTAGTCGTTGTTCAGCATTAGTATTATGTTTGTTCCTTAAAAACATATTAAAACGGATTCGGAACGGTGAAACTACGAAATAAATAATGAAGCAATTAATTAAAATCGATTACACTTAAAAAAATCGATTATTTTTCCACATCCCTACTAATAACTTCTGTTCAACTGTCAAATGCGTAATGTCTGTAAACTTGGTAAACTCATGAAAACTTATTGGTAAATTTTCTTTATTCCTCTTTGTTTGCAACGAACAAAGTTATTAATTTAATAACTATTATTCAATTATATTTGATTGTTAGCTGATTACTTTAGATAGTAAAATTAATTAGAAATGTTTTAGATGTTCATTTATTAGTTTAGATAAATTATAAAATTCATTATGTGTGATGATATACTTCAATCAGTGAAGGAGCAGTTCCTAGACATCGAAAACAACAGTCCCACAATTTTAGAGGAACCAACATTTGATAATTTGCCTGTAGAGGTAAGTACAAAGCATGACCTTTTTCTCTTTCTAAATAAGGATTTGAAATATAAACTTGTTTTTTTAATTATTTTAGATCATATTAAAAATATGCTCGTATCTAGATCCTTATTTCTTAAGGAACACTGTTAGTAAAGTCTGCAGAAGGTTTGAGGATATACTTGCAGATGACCACCTTTGGAAACATTGGGTTCACAGTAAGATAAAAGGATGCTTTCCTGTGTTACTTGATTGCGACATATTAGATGAAGTTCAGTTGGATTGGGAAAATGTATGTATAGACATGGATATAGAATACAGAAAATGGACAAATGTTAAGGACACTATGAGACATATTGTTGTTAAAGATGTTCATTTTGCTTCTGTAGATACTGTCCTTCTTTTGAATGTAAGTATATATTATATTTGATGAATTTTGCATTTACATTGGTACACTGGCATTTTTCATTAAGAATATTTTGTAAATATATATTATGATTAAATAAAAAGTAATCTACATAATAGTATCTTGCTGTATGGCATGTGTATTACTGGAGGACTAGCAATGAATATCCATTGATATATGTAATATAAATCCCATGCTGATTATATTATATTTAAAGAATCATAATAAAGAATTAACACAATAATGTTATAACTATGTATTGCAGAATGGAGAACTATGTATTTCTGGTGGAAGAGACCGTGGTATGGCATTATGGAATGTTTTAGATATAACTCCACATGACAAGAGTGATAATATGACAACTCTCACAGATGCTAAACCTAAACATATAAAATATGATGCTCATTCTGGTTGGGTTTGGGATTTAGCTCCAGACAACATAGAATCTGCAACTAAAGTGTACTCGGCATCTTGGGATAATACTGTTAAAGTATGGGATTTGGCTACAGGACTTGAATGTATTGAAACATTTAAGTAAGTTTTTAATTTAAATGTTGCTTAATTTAGTCAACTTAAGTAATTGGTTATAACTACCATTTTTTATTTTAAAGCAATAATAATGATATTTATTTATTTACGCACAGCCAAAAAAACAAGAAAGTAAATAAAAATAAATACTTAAAATTAAATGTTATAAAACAATGGCAAACAAATTCTATAAAAAGATTAGCGTCTGTAGCTGAGCTACTTTATTACTGTACTTCGGCTTACAGTGCCCTCCCAGCATTGTCTATATCAGTGTTAAAGATTCTGCTAGTTAAATTAATTGTAAATTTGCTAAAAAAATTATATATTAAATAAGAACAATTTACAAATTTAATAAATTTGAATTAAATTCAATGAATTTAGTGCCCCCCCCCCCCCCCCCCTTTGAGTAAAATGTTAATGAATGTGTGAATGCAGGAGGGTGAGTTACAGTAGCTTTAAGATTTTATTCATGAGTGTGTAATTATAATTTAAAATAATCAAGTTGATGTAAAATGAATATAGTCAACATAGGTTAAAATAATATCTAAAATATAAATAGTTATGATTTTTATAATTTACTAGCTTTCCCCACGTGGACCCTAGGGAAATGTTTAGTGGGATAAAAAGTATCCTATTATCTAAGTCAGCTAACACCCTATCTGTATACCAAATTTCATCAAAATCCGTAATCAGTAGTTTTGGTGTGATTGACCGACAAACATCCAAACAAAGAAACTTTCACATTTATAATATTAATAGAATTAATTCTTCAATAGTTATGCTTGTGTTTTGACCAATATATGATTAAGACTAATGAATATCTATTAAACTTCTAAATTCAGTATCACATCAATACTTTTATACCATAGCTTCAGTCTCCTCATAGTTGAGCTTTTGCAAATAATCATATATAGCTTTTTACACTGTACTTTATTTAGTGGATATATGATTAATACAACATTTAGTCTGTTATATATGGAGGGAACCAAAAAATACATATACTTGGTTACAAAAGATGTATAAGTATTACAATAATAAAACTTTTATTGTACATACACTGGCTATGTTACGAAATAAACAGTAACAGTACATATAGACTGAGAACTTGTGCCAAAAATATACCAGACTTTAAGTGGAAGGTTACATCATTTAATAGGTGCTGGAACATCTGGTAGTGGTGCAGCATAATAAACTACCATATATGTTTGTCCCATTAGTGACTACCAAATATGTTTGTTCCATTAAATGAAAGTTTGCGTATTTTATTCTTAACTTAAATTTTAAATAAGCAATTTAGTTCTTAATTTATTTTTACCCGACTGCGCAACACAAAGGACGGTAATGTGTTTATGAGTCTGTGTATATGTTTGTTCCTATATGGCACCAAATGGCTTAATCAAAAACACATAACAGTAATCAAAAACTTTTTTAGGGTACCTCTCCTATATGAAAAGTGGAGTTTGATTTTTTATTTTTTCGATTTCCCTATAGTGTGGTATATTGTTGAATAGGTCTTTAAAAAATATTAGAAGTATGCAAAGACCGTTTTTAGATATAGTGAGCCGTTCGCAAATTATTAAGCTTTTGGCGGTAATGCCATGATTTATGTAAATGTTATTACTTTAGAGCTGGTATGTTTTCGCATGTTCTTGTCAGTTAAAGACTTCCTAAACGAGTAGTAGAGTAAAAATATTTTTTGGACGATTCAAAAGTGCTTCAAACAAGCTTACTTGAATAAAGATATTTTAATTTCGTTTAAGTGCCAAGAACTACTTTGGACCGAGCTGTGGTTGACCTAAGTTCGCGAATTTTGCTAAAGGTCAAACTTTGAGCCGAGTAAGATCTCTAGAGGAACTAATGATCAGTAATCTAGACCACCACAAATTGCTTAACAATCCTCTTGATATAAACTCCCTTAATGAAATGACAAGGTTGCGAAATTTACCGTTTTATCTTATCTTATCTGAAAACAAAAGAAAGAAGTGAAAAAATCAGTTTCACTCAACACTAAAAAAAGAAACAAGCCCAGTAGTTTGGAACGTTATTAAGTACTTCTGAATAACTGCTCCATTAAATTATATATTTCTGCTTTTGCTCCAAAACTTCGAAATAAATTATTTATAAAAATTATAGAAAAACAATTGTTTGAGTTGTGCCAGAAAAACCCTATTATTGTAAAGATGAGTATTCCAAAATTATTGCATTGACAAATTATATTACTAATACATGACATACTATACTATACATTGACATACTATATTTTATATTAAATTAACTGGGTTAAATTAAAATCAATTTATGTAATTGATTAATTATGAATATTATTAATTAAATTATATAAGTAGGTAAAATTAATTATATTTAACATTATTTTTATTATTCTTTTGCAGATGTGGTATGTCTGCTTTGTCAGTGGTTAGTACTGATAATTATGTTATGGCTGGATTATATTCAAAAAAGATTTTGTCATTTGATTTGCGTGCAGGTGCAAATCCAGTGAACTCTTACAAACCACACAGAGGTCCAGTATTAACCCTTCACACTCACAAGAATATGGTTGCCTCTGTAAGTGAGGATAAAACTTTAGCTATATATGATAAAGTTGCAGGAAAAATTATTGTAAGTGATGTAAAAATACCAACAGACAAAGCTTATCCTGTTTGCATTAGTTGGACTCCATCCGCTATGTATATTGGAGATTCAAAGGGTTCTTTACACCTGATGCACCCACTGAATTACAATCATGTGAAATCACATGAAATTTGGCCTGAACCGCCAATCATTAAACCCTCAAGTAAAATAACCAGTTGTCACCAAAGTCAAGGAAATATGATTGTTTGTTCAGATAGAGGGGAAATCAAATTTTTTTATAATTGCTATCCACCCCAGGAATATACTACTATAAAAACGAGCACTTTCGATGTGACACAGGTAATATATATTATTAATGTCCTATATTATTGCTTTTGAAAAACGAAAGTTGTACAAATCACTTTATAGAGTTTAAACCCTAAATTGAAGTTCAATATTGATTGAGGACTTTATTTTATGATAACCTCATATACTGCTCTGTGTACTTTCATTGATATATAAAAAAAATAGATGTATGACATTTTCATTAATATTTATAATTCACAGATGCGATACCTGAACGGTGTTATGGTGATTGGAACCTGTGATTCTGCACTCGAGTTTTGGGTTCCGAAAGAAAAATATAACGAATTTTCGTAAGAAAACTTTCAGCTATCAATGATTAATTTTTGTTTATTCCAAATAAGGAGCCGTACATAAATTACGTCACACAAAATTCAGGATTTTAACACCCCCCACTCCTGTCACCTATTTATCTGTACAAATTCTACTTAATATTGTTCTAATGTCACAGGTCGTAATTTATGGATGACCCCTAATTACTTGTTTATTTGTATGCTGAAGATAATAATTTTGGCAGCTTTTTTTTTATAAACAGACTAGATTAGATAAATTAACATACTCACGTTCTTAATAAGTACAATATAAATAATAATAACATACTATTTATATTTTGATGAAATCTACATAATTTTTTATTGATTAGCAAGTCTAAAAATGAAATGCTTGCAATAAATATGCAAGTGTCAGTGAAGACAAAATCGAGTGCAATTTTATATAATGACAGTATAAATACTTATGTATTAAGCTGATAAGTTTTTTACGCCACCTGTCACAAACCACATGTTATATTTATTTAAACTTATTGAAATTATAATACCATATCGTACGTTGAGAACGATAGTGTCACAATGCAAAAATAAAAAGATTTTGAGTAATAAAAAGCGTTTAAAGTTCAAGAAATTGTAATCCACCCCTCTAAACAACGTATCGTCACTACGCCACCTAGCAGTTTCTATGCATGCTACGTTCACAGGGATCTGTGCATTTTAAAGTTTATACTTAACAAAGAAAAATGTTGCCAAAAGTAAAAAATACGTCGTTTTTGGTTAGTGACTTTGTCATTCCCAACGTGCGATATGCATTTTACCGGTCCATAATTAAAATAAATAAATTTGACCAAATTTTTATATGAAGAAACTTATGTTCTCATACCCTTCGCCTAGCCGCTAGCCGGCTGGCTATTATATTTTGTTATTTAGTTGATAAATTTTGAAAATGCATATAGTTCGGTTAATATTTCCGAACCGTCATTGGTATCGGCAGCGGCGGTCTCGCTTGATTCCGCCTAAACGCCCGGTTGATAGGCAAGGTCGCTGAACAGAAAGAATTTTGTACGTTGACCTTTGTGCCTAATGCTAGATATCGTAAACATTTTAAGTTCATTTTACTTTAACAAAATTGGCAAGATGTATCTGTGCGAGGGCTCCAGTAATATGTTTGCGTACGAGTGAAACAGATATATAGTGCCGGGTCATTGTACGAAATTTTCTCTATTCAGCGACCTGCTATATTTTGCATAAAAGTATCAGAGATTATTGGGATAAAGATATGAAATGTACGTGGTTGACTGAATGTAAGTAGTTATATATTTATTTAGTTTTCTTTTTACCTTTTTATAACATATTACATATTCTCTGTAAATGTTATGGATGTTTTCTTGAAAATGTGAAGAAAATAGTCTTTTGTGGAGAAATTTATGAATACTTGCATTAACATTTGGTGCCTACGAGACTGATCACTGTAAGGGCGGCGCGTTTTGACAATGTTTATGAATGAAATATTTGTGAATCCTGGACAGATGCCTCAAATTTGCGTTTGCGTTTTAATTGACCAATAGAATGTCTGTGTTTTAATGTCTCTTCTATAAAGCCTCATTGCTCCCCTTGACTGTCGGACGCAGGATAATACTATTCCGATGAATTTTAACATAGTTGCTTTACTTCGGATATACGTATAAATAAAACTAATTGGTGATTAAATATAAAGCAAATTTAAAATGAGAGAACGTCAGCGTCCTTAAAACGCCCACTAACATATTTATGAAGGCAACGTGATGTCACAATATTTGTAGTTAGGTATGTCTTAAATTTAAGGGTGCTTTCGAATTATAAGCTTATAAAAGTACTGCACTGGTGCGATTATAGCACAGTAGGACAACGGTTACTATTAATTTTAATATAATATCTGCAGTTACGCCTCTTCGATTACAGCTAGTGAAATAAATGAAGGGCCTGTAAAAATACAGCATCTGAACACGGCGCTGTCGCAGCATTCCACAGCACCAGCAGCAAACGTGATTAAAATGTGATTATTATTTTATTAGGTTTTATTTTCAATCAAATAAAACCTAATAGGAACAATAATTACACTGCTGTTACTACACTTGCGCAATACTTGAATGATAGGCTAATTTGAAACACAATAAATGACCGTAGCATGGTGTATAAAAAAGAAAATGTTCCCTCAGTGGTGCAGGGAACTGCATTAAGAATTAGTAAACCACTAAGGGTCTTTTTATGAATTTTTGTACTTTGAATCTCCCTGCGTTATTTCGCAAACTATTGAATCAAAATAACAGATGTTTATTCTAATTTATTGCCGTATTCTGTCGTTACATTGATCAGTAATGTCAAAATTTCGTTTATTTTTTTATAGACGGGAAAGAAAAATATACAGGAATAATTTAAAACCACTGCGAAGATTTTGTGAAAATAAACTTTAAGTAATTTAAATAAACACGTATTTTTTATTTTGATATGTTCTAATACTAAAAAATAAAGTTATCGCTTATCAAAGATCGAGATTTTAAAACTTAATTTATGGACACCGCGCGCCGTGCGTCAGCTGAGCGCTCGCTCGACGCCGTAGGCATGTACTCGTAGGTACCTATCTACACGGGTCACTGAACGCTCATTTTGTTAGATTCGAACTAGATTTTATGCCATGATCTGAGGTAATTTCTAAGAGTAATTCCAATTTTCCCTTCATACTTTTATGGTTAAGGCCATCAAAATGCAAAAAAAATAAAAGAGAAACAAATTCGTTACCTAGAAAAAAATATTAACGTTATGCCGAAGTTACATAGGTACTTCTGCGTTAAGGCGTACTTAAAAAAATTAGAATCAACTACGTATTTACAATAATGTTGAATCAAAACAAATACCTATCTAATTACTTACCATGTATTTTAATATTTGTTCAAAATGAAGTCCACGTCTGTCCAGACATAAACGTCCACATTTCATTAAATTGTCATTTAATTTGTTTAAAACACTAGTGTCACTTTTCACTTCACTGAAAGCGTTATTATTTTTTATTGTTAAGTCTTCCAGACTTTGTGCCTTCTCTACATCTCGGCGTTTGACTTCTTCCCATAAGAAACAGTCCCTCACTTGTGAACAATGCCTCATCCGTCTACAAGATGTTTGCATCGCGGTGATGTAGAAGCCACTCACATAAGATTCGACGTGGTACTGGGTCTAGGTCATGGAACTGCTGAACCGGCTGAAAGTGGTACGGATGGAGTCCAGCTGTTTTTAGCAGCTTCAATACCGCAGGCTGGCTCACACCAAAGAGATATGCCGCATCGTGGGTACTGACTCTGGGACTTCGTCTGTTAAAATGGTTCGAAGCATTAGGGACCGCGGGGTTACGGATCCCAAAGGCCCGCATACGAGGTATGCTCTTCGTCGCATACTTTCTCCGAATTGCGCTTATGTAGGTTCTCACCACTCAGAAGATAAACTCGTACCATCTCGTAAAACTCACGACGGCGGGCGCGTCGCGTGCGCGGGAACGCGAGGACACGACACATCGGCGCGTGCGTATGAGTCTCACTGTCGCGCGCGTCGCTCGGTCCCGGCGGGGCGGTGGGGGCTGTGGCGGGGGGCTACCGGGCGCGGCGGGGTTGCACGGTGGCATACGCAAGAGAAGACGTTTTCATTGAAGTTTTATTTTAAAAAATGTGTCCATATTCTACCGTTTCGATAGGGATAAAAATATTTTTAAAAATTTTTTTAACTAATTATGGAAAAGTGTTCTATTACTGATACTGAACCACCAAAAAAATTTTTGCACTGGAAAATAAATATTCCTGTATATTATATTTTTTTTTAGTTTTGTAATTTCTTAAAAATTCTGCTTCTTGTGTTACTACTGGTTAACGTTTAGCTACCGCGCTCCCCAATCTCCGAAGGTTAGCATAAAATGACAAATTTTTATACTCATATAAATAAGTTTTAAAATCGACTAGAATTTTGTCAGTTTTTATTGACCTAATACGCTCTTAACTGTACCTACCTGTCATATAATTTTCATTGATTATAGAATAAGATTAATACATATAGGTATTCGGTTTTATCTCATTTGGCATATTACGTTTACTTGCATATATACCGGGTGTAAAATATAAAGCGTTTAGTAAAGGGAAATCGGAAATTACCAAACTGAAAACTAGTTTTCAGTTTGGGAATTGAATCCGCACGTGTTGAAAGTTAAAACTTACATTATTTATACTTAGACTACATAAAAGTTTTCATGTAGTAACATTAACTTCTTGAGATCTACATAACCTATATCTAAGTAAAAATAATATTTGTCTCATTTTTAAACATTTTTTAAATGTATGAATGCAGTTTTTTTCATAATTATAACCGATGACTCGGTTACTAAGAACAGATCATCGCATATATTATAATTTCAGACTTTCCCATACTGACCGTTCTACGCCCTGTATAGGTATGTATATCCCAACCGTCATGCTACTCATGCTACGCTTGTCTTGTGACTGTCGTTGTCGTTCTTTCCGTTCCAATATAGCTACATGGCTTCAAGCTTTAATAAAAGAGAAACATTTAGAAATAAATAGGTATCTCAAGCAAGGAATACCTAATAAATAAGGTATTCCATGTGCAGTCAACAGCACGTGAGGCTATGACCTAGATTTTTGTCAAAAATCTAGGTGATTTTGAACCTTAATGCGCTGAAGGTAGAGATCAAAATATAAAAAAAAATGACGTGCACGATAACATATAAGGTTACATAAGTCAACGCTATGCAATTGATTTTGAACTAAATTTGCAAAAAAAATAAGGTTTATAATCGATGGGAGAAGGAACTATGTATAATCTGACGAACTGTTGACTGAACCTATTCATTCCTTAATTTGTCAAGTCTCTGTACTTAATACTTACGAAGTAACGAGTGTTACCAGTTTTGTATTATACCATTTGTATACATAGATACATTGCGTGTATAAATTAAATAAATTAGACTTAAATCGATTTATAAACTGAAGCAAAAGAAATAAAAATATATAGATATGATTTTGTTATTATATGAACATGATAGATAAATATCTACTGTAGAATGTGTTATTGTAATTTTGTTACTAACATCTATGCATAATATCGTTTGGTAATAAATAACAGATTATATGATACTTTGTAAAATTACATAAATTTGTAAGACTGCGTCGAGATGGCAATGCGATTGTGTTGCGCGCCATCTTGTACCGAAATGAAGAAACTTGCTGTCTCAGTTTTGTTTGCCGTCAACGATAAAGACTGCTATGTACTATTGATTCAATACCACTATCGAATTTTTCTATTCAATTTGTTGAAGTTGAAATTGAACGCGCTATTTAATGTATTTTTTAAATCTGTGATTGGTTCAACATAATACGAAACTTAAAGTACATTTTCTTCACGATACGATACTTTTGGTCGTAAGTAATTAATTTTACTTATTAATAAATTTATCTCAATAATATTTACAATTTTAATCATTAATATAATTCATAAATAAAAGTAATTATGAGAAACATTTTTATTTTCACAAAATAGGGATGATGACTATTTTTTTTTGTCTGTTCGTAAAGTAGATTATTAAAGAATATTTAACATGTACACATATTTTTTATAGTTGAAATATTGCATGACATCACACCTTTGTTCATTTTCTACACAGTAGTGGCGTAGCGAGCCCATACTCTTCTACTTTAATGCCTATTAATAAAATAAAAAATGTACCTAATATTTTTCTATTCGACTGACGGACTAAATAGTTTTTTTTTACCCAGTCATCTCCCCTACTGGTCAACATGCTTTGGGATTATATGTTTATTGTAAAATGTAATTTAATCTATGAAGAAGTATTTACTAAAGTTACTTGTTATATTTAATTTTAACCACATATACTGATCTCTATACTTATAACTTGCCTAGCCTATGACATTTTTATATGAAAGTTTTGAAATAAATATTAATAAACTAAATTGTTTTGTACTTTACTGTCCATTGTTATAATACATAGATTTACGTATAACAAACTCCCGTACATTGACCTACTAATAACTGTATTTGAATAACGCGATTCAATTGCACAACTAAACGTCGATCAAACGAGAGCCGGACTGGACTATCGCCCCTTTTTTTAAAGAGGAAGTATTTAAAAAAAACGAAAGCACTAAAAAAGCACCTCCACTAGATGGCGACTCTAACAAAAGGAAATTAATGGACCAAAGACAGTAATTTCCGTTCCTATTAAGTAACAACTAACTATTTCCATGTAGTGGAGGTACTCTTTTAGTGCTTTCGTTTTTTTTTAAATGCTTCCTCATTCATCTCACTACTTTTCCTTCTCAACACTATACAATCATCCCGATAATACACTTCACTATTTTTTCGATCGATGTTTGCGCATCGAGTTTATGTGACGTATTTGAGACGAACATATTCAGAAACCGGGTTAAAATCTTTGCCAAAGAACAAGTTCCTTCCTGGGTGCATCCCTAATTAATGTGTCCTATATATTATTAGTGCTCTTCTATGCTGTGGTCGATAATAGATTTTTTATGTCCAAATTCCAGCAACTTTGTTTAAAATAAAACTGACTGATAGCAACATCTGTTAATATTGTCAACTAAACGAAATTGCAGATCTTGAACACCTCGTTCTGAAATGTCCAAATTTCGCTATGCACCGCCTAATATTAACAACAAATATAGAAAAACCTGTGAAAGATGTACTTACAGAAAGATTGCAGATCCCAGAAATATATAGATACTTATACAGATATATAAAGGAAACGCTTGTAAGTATATAATTCTCAATATAAAGACACAGCTGAAGGCCATGGAAGCCAGGGCCGGTAAAACCTTATAAAAAAAAATTGTCGTATGGTGACAATTGATTGACATTGACATCTAAAGAAACTGTCCATTCTTTTATTTTAAAGCAATAAAATAAATCCTTAATAACGTTTTAAAATCGTGTTGCTATTGGTAAATGCATGTAAAAAGATAGAATTGGTCATTCAAAATTGTTTGCTTGACTGAATGTATTTAAATCGTGTAATGGTCTCCTACGTGAAGTTGTGGTGACGCAAAGTGCCATTAAAGTTAGAAGAAGAAGAAGAGTCAGAGTAGAAGCAAAACTAAACTGAGCAAAATACTGGATTTTGGCGAAATCCAAAAGGGAAACGCCTGTAATTAAAAAGAAGAAAAATTATTTTATTTTGTTTTACATGTTAATTTATTCAGTTGACATTGGCAGAAATGTGCTGATAAGCTATCAATAAAAGAAGAAGAACATTTTAGTTCTGTCTACCGAAAATAAATTAATAATCAAAATCTGGCTCAAACAAAAATCTAAATCATTATCTTAAAACTTTGCTTATTACTATGGATAAATTTATAGTGCAACCTGGGACATCTTTAGATGTAGAAAGAAGTAAGAACTTGGACATTGAATTAACAAATAAGTTTTTAAATGGACAAATGTCCTTTGCAGAATATTCCAGTGAATGGTACTGTGATGATAATAAGCAAGACATTGAAGATGACAGAATAAGTGATGAAGATACAGTAGGGTCACCATCTACACAGTCGTCTGAGAAAGTTACTAGGCGCCGGAAAGTCACACGCCTTACTCCAGCTCTTATGGGTTTAATGGGTGAAGCAAATCTGCGGTTTGTGAGAGGTGAAAAAGAAATTGCTGAAAAAATGTGCCATGAAATAATAAAAGAAGTTCCTGATGCAGCTGAGCCTTATCAAACACTAGCACAAATTTATGAAGATGATCCTGAAAAATCATTACAATTTTCATTGTTAGCAGCTCATCTAAATCCAAGTGATGCCAATGAATGGTTAAGACTTGCTGCCATATCTAAGCAGAGGAATGATATTAAACAAGAAATGATATGTTATACCCAAGCTATCAATGCTGATCCAAAGAATTTCGAAATACATTTGAAGAGGCTTGAACTTTTAGCAAAATTGGAGGAATCAAAATATCCTTTATATAATCTTAACATTAATCGTGTTAGATGCTATCATAGAATTGTCACATCACTACCTGTAACTGAAGGTGCTACAATCATGAAATATGCTAGACTTGCAGCATCAATGTATCATGAAAGTAACGAAGTGGAAAAGACTTTAGAAGTGATGTCAAGTGCATATGCAAAGTGTTCCAAAATTTTTACAGTTGAAGATCTGAATATTCTATTAGAATTATTGATAGCAAAAAAAGAATATAAAACATGCATTGAAATTTTCGTTGGTCATGTAGGAATTGATATAGAGGCTGAAATTCAAACAGTCAAAAAGGAAAACAATGAAATTGAAGAGCAGACTCATTATTTAAATTGCACCATTCCAAATAATCTGCCAATAGATTTGAGAAGTAAATTATTAGTCTGTTTTATACATCTTGGTGCCATTAATTTAGTTCAAACCTTGCTACATGACTTTTTATCTAATGATGTAGAAAAAGCTGGAGACTTGTACATGGACATAGAAGAAGCCCTTTCTGCAGTTGGCTATCATGAATTAGCAATGCAGCTACTAGAACCACTTGTACAGAATACTAGTTATGATCTTGGAGCAGTATGGCTTAAACATGCTGAATGCTTGTATAAATTGGGAAGGGAGGAAGATGCTATAGAATCATATTATAAAGTTCTAAAACATGCACCTCAACATCCTACTGCAAGAAAGAAACTTTTTACTATACTTGAAAAAAAAGGCAGCATAGATGAAGCCTTGAACATATTACAGCAAGATTACAAATATGTTGTTAATGCTAGATTACTCTATGAACAATGTATTGTATTAAAAAAATATGGGAAATTGCTTAAATACTTAGAAGTAGGAGAAGCCTTACTTTCAAAAACTTTTCCTAGGTATAGACATCAAGCGGAATTAAAAATTGCTTTACGTACCAAAGGGGGAGTTGAGCTCATCCACAATTTTAGAGTAATGCGTGGAGAAAATCCCTTTAATGAAGATGATATACATTTTGATGAAGAAGAGGAATTTAAATTCAGTCCTGAGGAGGAATGGTTATTTTTCAAAGAATTATTAGAAGTTGCTTACAAACATAAGAAATATTCCACTATGCAAAGGCTTTGTTATGGAGCTATCATGTCTAAAGCCTTAGCACCACACCGCAAAAATCTAGAATTTCTATGCTTCCAGTCATGTCTCTTAAATAGTGATTATTATAATGCAATGAAGTTCATTAGAGAAATAACTCAGAAAAATCGAAGTCCTAGGACATGGACTTTATTAAATTTTGTACTTAGTGCGGCAGGTGAATATTCACAGATAAAGTTTTTGTACAGGTTATTTGATAAAGATACCAGTATGGTAAAAAATCTCTTTCTGGGGAATAATTTTTTAACATCTGGAAGGTACCTTGTGGCATTGAAATATTTCTTAGAATATCATGAGCAATGTAAAGAACCTATTTCAGCATTACTGATTGCAATATCTAATTTAGTTATGGCTGCACAAAGAACAATGGATAAACACCATAACTTAATAGTACAAGGGTTATGTTACATGATGATTTATAATGAATTGAGAAAATGCAGTGCCGAATCTAACTATAATATTGGCAGGGCTTTCCACATGCTAAACATTAATAATTTAGCCATTGAATATTATGAAAAAGTCCTGAACAGTGATCCTATATCTAAATGTTCACAACATGGAATTATAGACTTGAAAAAAGAGGCTGCTTATAATTTGATATTGTTATATAAAGGACATTCTCCACAAATGGCAAGGAGGTACTTGACTAAATATCTTGTGATTGATTGAAATTAGTAATGGCACAACTTCAGGAGTTTGGTGTGGAGCAGTCCCTGCTGGTGCTTCAAGGGGGTTTAGTGGGTACCACCTGTGTCTCAGAGCGGTACCGTACGCATGGAGAGTTCCATACCCCACCTCCGTCTACCAGAAGCAGAAGTAGAGTGCATAATACATTCTCTCTATGACATAATACCCTAAACCAGAATCCACCCTAAACAATTGTTTGGGCTTAACTATTAACACATTTATAAAAAAGGGTATTTTGTCTTCTTACGATTGCTTTGTTAATTTCTTATTCTGTACTTTACCATGGACTTAAATCAGTAGGTAACCATTTAAGTCATTAAGAGAAATTACTTGTTTAATGTTTGTTTGTAAGGGTACCTAATAATAAATAGATTGTTGCTATAACCTGAGTCTCTATTATTTTTTATTTCACAACCCCATACCAATTTCGAATAATTTATCTTTAGCAGTCTAAATTATTTGATATTCCATACTTTCTTCCGTATATATACTCTTCTGTACCCTAGCTACTCATACGCTGATCACTGTCAAGGTATAGTCGTCTCCACGGTTCGAATTTCGGTGTATCCAATCTAGATGAACTTTTGTATTGTATATTGTTGCTGTAGTTATTGCGATCCATAATACGTAAGTAGTACACATATTTGTTGTAATGTACTTTTCTTGGGACAGCAATGTACTCTATGTCAATGTTGTGTTTTAGTGGGTTTAGGGGAAGTTATTTACCATAAGTTATACCTATTTATTACCTTCTAATATTAATAAACAAATTTAATACAATATTACATAATATACATTGTTCTTATGTAAAAAGTAAATCAGAACTGCAAAAGTAGGTATCACAAACCTACACCAGCACGCGTAGCATGACGAGCTCGAGAACGTTTTGTCTACACTCAAATGTCACTTTTCGCGGGTGCGCCCATACGATATCTCACTCTCGACCCGAGAAACTGATAAATGAGTGTAGACAAAGCGTTTCTCGAGTTTGTCATGCTACACGTGCTAGGACAAAATGGTTCGAATTTCGCAGTGAAGTAGATAGGCTAATTACATACACAACTTTTCGCCAGCAGCTTCATCCGCGTCCTTTAATACCTAAGTAATCGTTTAATAGGTTAAAAAGTAGCTTAAATGTATGTACTTCAGGCTTATGATTATCCTATTTTTTACGTGAAAGAGTAACATACATACATACGTTCATCTTTTATTTACCAACTTTCGCATTTATAATATGTAGAATTTCGAGCGTGCCCAAGTGATGTCGTCTGGAATTATTCTGATTAAAACTTAGGTATCCTAAAGTAAAACACTGTTTAAGATGTTACACTTATTAAAGTGTATTAATGAGAAACACCCATCGCACTAAGAACTGATTTGTTAGCAGCAAATATAGCACAATCAAATTCACTCAGGCGCTAAATGAATCAGTAACATGCGTGACGACGTGAACTGAAACTTGACACAAGCAGTGTTTATACCGATATGATGCCGCATCTTCGGTCAGCCAAAGCCCGCTTTATATTCGACACGTACAATAAATTATAGTCTCGAAACAAAAGCACATTCATAAGCATACTTACTTTCCTACTCTCCTGGAATAACGCCTCCTCCACAATAATATGCTATTTTTATTCAGACTTCAAAATCGAAACGGAGGATATATCTTCGACTGCGTTGTATTTTTTGTTATGTAAGTACCTAATAATGTTCACCGATATATCCGCGAATTTTTTGACTGATTGTCAAAATTATATTTTTCGAGATAGGCTCATTTAAATTTTATCGAAATCGTATCAGTAGTTTTTCATGTTATATCAGCGAAAAAACCAAAGGTTGCGTTGCATTCACTCAAAATCCACAAGGAGGATTTTCTATGTTCAACGGGTATGTAGATTTTTATGTAAGTAGGTATATTCATCGATTTCGTCTTAAATTATAAAACAATTTCTATCAAACTAACTGTTTCCCCGCGACTTCGCCTGCGTAATTAAGTCCCCCGCGGGCCGCGTGAAGTTTCCCGTACGTAGATGAAAGAATTTTATAATTATAACCGGTCCAATAGTTTCGGAGCCTCCAATGCAATGGAAACAAACAGCATTGATTTTTCCTCTTTATAATATCAATATACTTTATTGGAATAAATTACGTCGAGCAAATAAACAAAATCTCTTTTCCCAAGTCTTTCATTATGTTGACATATTTTTATTTAGATATTTAATATTTTAAGTGATAGATAAATTATGACTAAAAAGGATCAAAAGGCGCCTATCATTTGTTAATAAACCTACTGCCTGACTTCAATAGCATTTTCTTGAATAAGTTGCTTTTGATTAAGCATTATGTATCACATTTTTAAAGTTGAAGTCGGTTCTATTTTTTATAATTCCTTTTTTTTACTTGACCGTAAGCAAAATGTGTTACAGACTTGAAGGCGTTAGTGAGTGTATCAATCAATCCTGCGTAAACGATACCCAATCGTGGACGACGATTGCCAATTATTTCTCATATTTCACTCTCCGCTGCGTCCACCTTTCCATTTTCTTTGTTTAGGCTAGTTATATTTCATTTGACAAGTAATAATGTGATTTACAAAGTTACTCTTACTTCTATAATAAGTCGCTTTTGAGATAAGTATTATTTACCTTTTTTTAGTTTGATTTTGTGTAAAAAGTTTTTATTTCATGTTTTATTAGTGATATTGATATTTTTATATAAAAGGTAACAATTAAGGAAATATATGTGTAAATAAAAATATTTAACATAGTGAACGTCAGAATACGAGAATTCGTTTATTTGTTCGACATATTTTTTTCAAACCTATATTCATATTATAAAGAGAAAAGATTTGATTGTTTGTTTGTTTACATTGGATTGGTCCCGAAATTGGTCCTATTGGACCGATTTATAAAACTCTTTCATCTACGGGAAGTTACATAATATCCGACGGACATAGGCTATAATTTACGCAGGCGAATTCGCGAGGAAATACAAAGCTACTTTCATAAAAACATATCATCAAATTTCTTTCGGATTTTGAATGAATTCTAAATACGCAATCGTTTGTTTTTAAATAGGCCATGTCATAACATAACATCTTAATATTTAGGTGATATCTTTTGGAAAGCGTATTTTGTTTTGTTATAAAAAGAAAACCACATATTCGATTTCGACAAATTTGAAATGGGACCACCTCGATTCATCAAGCTAAATAAAAAAAGAATTTTGAATGTCGGTTAACAATTAACGAAAATATCGGTGAATATACATAAAAAAAAAAACATCCATCGCCGTCAAACATATAGCCCTCCTCTTCGATTTTGAAGTCAGTTAAAAATTCGTAAGAAAATTAGTTAACTCAAATTCCTTTAAAATTATAGTCAGATAAATTCAGCTTTGTTATTAAGTATAGCGTACAGTATACCTACTTCAAAGGTACCTAATAAAGGTTTTATTTGTTTGAACCTTCTAATGTTGTGACAGCAACGCTGTGTTCGACGCTGTAGACATTAGAACTGTAAGTCTTGCCGTTATAATATGCAAGATGCAGTTCTTGGATGGATGTGGTTCTAATATTTCAGTTTTACAAAGAAATGCCTACTGACACAATCTTTTGATCTTTTTATTGGATCCCTTTCAAACAAAAAAAGATCGCCAAAATTTGTCCAAATGTACACGAAGTTCTCGGGGAACTTCGGTAGGACATAGGTACACACGGCAGCAGGTCAGGTTACCAATATGTCTTTTGTAGTCGATTTTCAACTCTGCTCAGTTTAAAACAAGTGGACAAATTTGACAGATTTGTATAGCCTGAAGACCTTACTGTACAATAAAAAACTTTCAGGCTGATTGATAACCTCTTAATTTACTGTTACTATATCTCTATACTGTTTAGGTGTAGGTATTATGACAATGGCATGAGTGACAGTTTTTATCATACTCTATCAACTAATATAATTTGCTAATAAATTTGAAACATTCAAAGCTCCGTCCGTGAGAATACAGCATTCTATATTTATAATTATTTTTTTGCGATTGTAAAGCGAAGATAATACTTTATCTACAAATATATAAAAGTATGTCAACGAAGTATCAATTTACATAGATTTTTCTGTATAATAATTTATACAAAACGCAATCAGTAGTGGCGGCGCTTTAGCAAGCAGCCGCCCACGCTGACATCCTACCAATAGGAGAAAAGATAGGGCGGAGCTTTAGCAACGCGCTGTTCGTTTTAAATTTGAAACCCTCTTTACAGCCGTCAATCTAAGAAAGATATCAACGTGAACATGACTCGTTTACGGATCGCGGAAAAATCGTGTATTTAGTCTTGGGGTAATGGGGCAATAAATTTTAATAGAAAGTCTATTGATGAGGTTTTTCGAAATGCAGGATGAAAAGAGTGCGAATAGCGCGAACGTTAGGAAAGTGCTTAGGACGCCAAAGTGCGCGCGGTGCCGCAACCACGGGGTGATCTCTTGCCTGAAGGGACATAAGCGACTTTGCCGATGGCGCGAGTGCCGTTGTCCCGGGTGCCTACTCGTATTGGAACGTCAACGAGTGATGGCTGCACAGGTAATAAGTCTTATTACGATATTAGCTAAGTATTTTTTATATTCAAAAGCAAACAACCTTTGAATGGGTTTAAGCTGGTTTAGCTATCTATACTAATATTATAAAGAAGTAAAGTATCTAACGTTGTTTGTTTGTAGGGGGTACCTAATCTTCCGCAATATTGATCCGAGCATGAAAATTCTTGCACCTACGAGAAGCTACATCGTATGCGGGTGACATAGACTATAATTTACGCGGGTGAAGTCTTAAGAAAATTAAACCAAAGTAAAGCCAATGGAAAACAGCTTAAACTAGATTCCATGCCTTATATTTTTAATAAGAAAAACAGGACTACCAAAGACCTTTCTGAAATCTGATTGTCGCGATAATAGCTTATTTTAAAAGTGTCTAAATAGTACCCATTAGGTATTAGTAATCGATATTTTGTTTGAAATCTAAGTAGACAATTAATGGATAGTACTTAAGGTAGTATAAATTTTATTCTATGGAATAGCTATGGTGTGATTATGATCAATCAAAAATGTTGTTGTTAG